ATATACCCTCCATACCATGACAGAAAAATACAGGAAGTCGCATTGACACGGCTGCTGGGACAATGAACTGTCAAACCAATTTTGAAATTGAAATTTTTAAATGAAAATTTATTAAAATTTGTAAAAATTGTTGAAAAATGCATATCATAACAACCTGTGATTGGTGTCGTATAAGAAAACATATAAAAATCAACTTATTTTTGAAAATACATTTCAAAAATTTCATATCACATATCAATAGGTGTGTCTGGTTACTTTTCCTGCAGGAATTGTCCAGCAACTTCTTTCTGAGAGAGTAAGGAAGTTTTATTTTCTTTTGCAAGAAAACTGTGAAAAGTAAACAGACGGAATCCCTGCAAAAACTTGCAAGCAATAGGCTGATTTGTCAAAACAAACCAATTTGTCCCCCATCAAAAGAATTGAAAGAAAGAAAGCACCACCAATTTTATAAGTTTTAGAAATAAAAAAGGAAATTATCAATAAAATAAAAACATGAGCAATAGAAGAAAGATAGATTTGAAGGGTTCCCCGGAAACTTTAAACGTGTTGCTAATGGCGTTTGTGTAAAAATGTTGGAAATAGTTTTTTATTTTCTTATTTCATACTAAAGCTGGGAATACATAAAGCGCTTATTTGGCTGGCTTAAGTCATCGGCTGGCTTCTTCGGAAATGAACAAAGGAGCCAAAATCGAACTAGGTCAACCTAAAACTCCTTTGTTCATCTACGAAGAAGCCAGCCGATGACTTAAGCCAGCCAAATATGCGCTTTATGTATTTCCAGCCTAATACTTAAGTTTTTCTCATTTTGTAAAGTTGTTCTCTAAAAATAAATTAGTCTTGCTAATTCCAAAAAAATATTTTCAAATTGAAAGCAGAAAAAATTTAAACAAACATTAGAAAACATCTGATTGAATTTCGATGAATGAGAAGAAGAAGAGTTGCAAGTGATTGCAAGAAGAAATTTGTCCAGCAAGAATTTGCAAATTCTCACTGAAAGAACTGTCAAAATTTCTCTCTCCAACCGCTCTCTTTTGCAGAACTTTCGGGTTAACAGACGAAACAGAAACAACTTGAAACACTGCCTTTACACGGTGCAATTTTTAGCTGGCATTTTTATCAATTCTCTTTTGAAATTTCTGCGTAAATCTTCGCGCCTTTACACGGTGGCATTTTACGATAATAGTACTTGGCATTTTTTCTGACATTTTACTTTATTCAGTATTTCGTATAGAGCTAATTGTTTGTAACAGATATTTATAAAGAAGTGATTTAAAATTATATGTGTGAATCTAAAGAAGAAATGATGGAAAAAGTTATTGAGGTGTTAAATATCGCATTATTAACTTTTATTTTAACTTTCTTTTTTTACTTTTTAATACATCCAATTAATTTTCATATAATTCACTATACAATTCAATCACTAAAAACATAACATCACAATAAAAGAAACGCATCAAAAATTACAATAAAGAAACGATATGAAATGTCAAAATCATAAAAAATTCGGAAGAAGCAAAAAGAGAAATGCAAAGAAAATGGCATGTAACCCTGTGCGGTGGCTTATCGTGCCATTTTTTCCTCTATCCTTGTCTCTCTACACCTTTTACCAACAAAAAAAAAATGGCATGGTTAAAAAATGTCACCGTGTAAAGGCAGTGTAACAATTGTTACAAATTTTAGGGTAACCAGACACACCTAATATTGCAAGCGTTGATGCATATGGTGGATGATGTAAAAATCCAGTCAATTTCCCTCTTTTTTGGCCCCACTGTAACTCTGAACTTCAATACCATTTAAATCTGTAACAACAATTGAAATGAAACCAGCTATTGTTAATAAAATATGATTTATTATGTTTCCCCTCATTTCACCTATAACACTGGCACAGCTTATATACCTCAAAAAAAAAAACTCGGAAAATAGTGAATGAGACAAAAGTAACACGTGTGCCTCGTGAGCAACAACTTTCCATGCTACATGTGTCAAACATGCGCCACATAAGGTCTAATTGCGAGTTCACATTGCTTAACACTTGCATACCGCGATGCACCTTTTCGGTTACATCATTGAATCACGGTGAAGGTGCAACTTGGCAAAGTACACACACGCCATGCCATGTCAGCGAGAGAAAAAAAATAAGGTTTGAACAACGATTTTGGTTATTACAAAAAAAAAAAACATGGAGTAAGCCCATGTTGATGGGTAGGAAATGATGGTTGCGATTTCTGCTATTTTTTTCTACAAAAAAATCATGAATTGTAAATTATTATAATCTTACAAATTTCCTTTAAAACTAATATGTAGCTTCATGTGTCGCCAGTGACGGCTTCTTTCAACTATTTTACGATTAACCAGAAGCTTTTGTATTACATTTCCCATAACCACATTGGCTACGCCAATGGAATTCTCAAATTATGGTGGCTTATGAAATAATGCAGGGTTAAAAAATGAATTGATAATAATGTTTATGTTGATAAATTTGTTTAAGTATTGTTTTTTGCAATTTTTGGCATCTAAATAAATGTTATGCTAGTGTAAACTTTGTTTAGGGCAATGGAGGAAATTATTGTGAGATTGCTGATTCGAGCAAGAAAATTTGTGCGATATTCCGGAAATGCATATTCAGGATGAGATGAAAAAACTGCAACCAATTTCAGACTGCAGTCATTTCTAGGCCACTCGTCCGACAGCTGTTAAAATTATTCCAGTGACAGCTCATTATATTTTCTACAAGCGTACAAAAGCATTTTGGTGAGAATTTACCAGAAAAAAAGTTATTCCTGATGGAATTCAAGCGTGATAGTGTGATTTCTTTATATTTGGCTGGAAAACCACAAGTGGCTATCGTTAGAGCACTCCAGCATTTAAATGTGAATAAATCTTTTGTGTCTCATACCATCGCTTGTTACCGTGATACTGGTAGTGTAGCCCGACGTCAAGGAAGTGGACGGAAGAAAACAATAACATCAGCAGAAATGGTTCGAAAAGTAAAGAAGCGACCTGATCGAAAAATGGCTCGTGAGGTGAACATTCATTCAGCAAATATTTGAAAAAGGAGCTCGGGGTAAAGCCATTAAAATTCGAAAAAGGGGAAGAATTTACACCACAACAGAAAGAAAATTGACTCAAACGAGCTAAAGAGTTGCTTCGCTTGGCAGAAAGTGGTGAACTGCCGAATTTGGTTTTCTCCGATGAGAAAACATTCGTTGTCCAGCAGTTTGTAAACAAACAAAATTATCGTGTTTACTTGCCAAAGAGGTCAGTTGAAAATGTGCACCTTCGGTTGGCCACCAGAACTCAAGCGCCGGCCATGGTAATGGTGTGGCCCGCCATAACAGCTGATGGTCGCCCTCCGCTCGTATTAATCGACGTGGCACCAGAATAAATGCCAAATATTATCGCGAAAATATTCTGGAGGGTGTATTAAAGCCTTGGTCACGCAAACATTTAGCACGCGCCAGCCCAGAATGGTTACAAAATAAGGTTACTCGCTTCATTTCCAGCGCACAATGGCCACCAAAATTTCCGGATATCAATGCGTTGGACTATTGTCTCTGGAGTATTTTGGAAAGCAAGGTTGGCATAAAAAATTACCAAAGTGTCGATCACCTCAAGTAAGCGCTTCGCCGGAATTGGGCCAAAATTCCGCAGAAAAAAACTTTGGGGCAGCGTGTGACGGTTTCATTGGCCGTTTGAAAACCATAATTCGTGCCAATGATGACCAATTCGAACAAATCTAAACTTATTTTAAAATTTGATGTTGGACTTTTTTGCTTTCATTCAATTTGACTTTGTTGCAGTGTTTTTATCTCACCCTGTACATATTTGATTACAACGAAGGAATTCTGTTTAAATACATGAATTGTCGGACTCCAACTGGGCGCCTATCAGCCGTCCGTCTTTCCATGTATTCTTGTAAACAAAGTGCTCGTCACATTTATTGCCCGATCCAGATGAACAATTGCACAAGTCATTTGTTTGACCCAAGGACGAACCCTATTGAAATTGGAGAAAATTGGTCAAATGTTAGATGTAGCTCCCATATATATCTTCGTCCGATTTGCCTTTTATTGTGCACCAAACGTGAAATATTAGCCCAAATGGGATGGAATTTGGCACATGCGACCAAATTAAGCCTGAAAATATGTATGCCAAATTTGATCGAAATCGGTTTAGATATAGCTATAGCTCCCTTATATACTGTTCACCCGATTTGTTATTTTGTCGAATATGCCCTCCGTAACGACAATATTCGAGGAAGTATGTCAAACAAACCTCAGAAATACCTTTGCCAAGTTTTATCGAGATCGGTTCAGATTTTGATATAGGACCCATATATATATCTTAGTCCGATTTGCCTTTTATTGTGCACCAAACGTGAAATATTAGCTCAAATGGGATGGAATTTGGCGTTTATAACCAAATTGAGGCTAGAAATAAATATGTCAAATTTGGTGAAAATCGGTTCAGATATTGCTCCAATATATATATTTCTTTCGATTTGTCATTTTTGTTCTCCACAGCCGTAATATGCACACCGTAACTACGATATTCGGGGAAATATACCAAATACAGCTCAGAAATACCTTTTATCGAGATCGGTTCACATTTGGATATAGCTCCTATACATATATCTGTATCTGATTTTAAGTTAATTTTGCACCAAATGCCCGAATTGAAAAGGCAGAAATGCCTCGGCAAATTTAGTAGAATTCGATTTAGAGGAGGATATTGGTTTCTTTGGACTTTAAATTATATCTGTAATCATAGTTGGTATTATTTAATTTTCACAAATTTCCCATTAAAACATTTATTTGTTATGTGAAGCTCTACTAAATATGCAAAGGGTTGTAGAGTAGCATAAAGTCAGCCCCGCCCGACTTTAGGACTTTTTTACTGATTATCAATACATCACCCTTCATTAAAAAATTAAGACAAATCAAATTTGAAAAGAAATCTGATTATATCCATACATAACAACACAAAAAACAAATCTGAAATTAAGTAAAATAATGACAGTTTTATTCTAGTCTTTGTTTTCCGGTTTCTTGTTCCTAGGCTCAGTCTATGTTCTTAAGACTTACTTACAAAATATCTTAAATTATTTTTTATTTAAATTTCCATTTAATTCAAAAATTGTGAAATATTATTTGGAGTTACAAAGATCATCAGTACCTGAATTGTAAGATCAGTTCGAGGAATAAAAAAAAATATTAAGACAAAAACTCACAAACAACAAATTAAAAATAAATAGTTAATTGTAAACATAGAAACATCTTATTGTCTTAACCATCATCACTGAATTCATCGCGTTCCTCACGCCTGGTTATTCTGTTGGCTGATCTGGTTACACTTGAGCGAGTTGATTTGTATACCGTATTTGTGGGTGTTAAATGACGTGCTCTCTGCCGCCCCGCAGATGATGATGTTGAAGAGGTGGCAGCACTATATCGCAAAGCATTGCTGTTTTGTGGCGTACCGCCTCTATAGGCATTACCCCCATTGTAATCTTCATCTTCACTTATATCATCTTGCAATGGACGTCGAGAGGTTGAACGACGTGATTTGTTGTAATGATAGCTGTTTTGTTCTTCAGTCTCGCTTTCATCCAAAATGATATCAGAATTATTGCTATCATCTTCATCATCTTTCGAGGACTCAAAACGTAAAATCTCTTCATCGCGTAAATGGGAGGCGCCCTCAACAAAGGCAGCAAAGCGTAATGGATCACGAAGTTTGCTCATGACCTATAATTATATATATTTTCAATTAGAATAATTATTGTTTAATAATGTATTAAGAAAAAAACTTACCCTCCACTGATTGCAGTTAGGACTACTGGCAAACTGGCGCAATTCTTCCAATGCTTTGGTGGTCTCACGTACACCTTGTTCATAGTATTCTTCGTTGGTAAGCAGACGGCGTTTTGGTGGAAATTTACGCAACCACAAAGCTCGACATTTGTACCAAAAGGAACGAGGAAAATAATGCAAGACAATTGTAATTATAATAATCGCCGCTGTAGCCTCCTCGTAATAACTTGACAAATAGATGAGAAGCAATGACATCAATTGCAGCAGCCATTTGATTATATTTTTCGAACGCTTATTTGTCGGTGGTCCCCAACGATAACAGAAAAAGAACGAAACCACTCCCGTTATTAGAATATACCAAAAGACATAGGTGCGATAGGTCACAATGATAACTTGTAGATTTTCCCACAGCATTTGTATGACATACAGACCAATGGTCCAGCCACCAATTAGAACGCCATACATCATGGTGCGTCTGAAAAGAAAGAAGAGCACAGACAATTTCATTATTTAATGTAACCAGTAACGAAAAGTCAAAAGTGGGGCGGGACCGACTATATGATACCCTACACCCACTATGCATATTTAGTAGAACTACGGGAGAAAAAAAGAATTTATTTGAAGTAGATCATACCACCTATCAACATTTGGCTTTAGAGCAGTTATAGTTTGGCTTCAGAGGAAATTAATATATGGGAGGCGGCATATCCGATTCTGAATCGATTTTCACTAAATTTGTCGGAGGCATTTTAATCTTTTATACAAAATAACATTGCTATAGAGTGCATGTTATCACTTCGAGGAGGTTTATATAAAAAAGTATATCGGACTAATGTATTCAGGACTTTTTGACTGATATTGGCCATTTGGTACACAGTTAATCCGAAATCGGTTGAAGATGTATATGGGAGCTATATCCAAATCTTAGCCGTTCTCGATAAAATTTGGCAAAGGTATATAAGGTATCTGGTACCAAATATCATTGTTGTCGAATGCATATTACCAATGTGAGGGCCATTTGGTGCACAATTAACCCGAAATCGGTTGAACATATATTTGGGAGCTATATCCAAATCTCAACCTATCTTGATAAAATTTGACAGAGGTATTTCCGGGCTGCATCTGATATTCGGTACCAAACATTATCTTTGTGGGGGGGGCTTAAACACCAATATATGTGAGCTATAGATATATCAGAACCGATTTTCTCCGAGTTCGATATAATTGCTTCAAGACTGAATTTGGTCGAATGTGCCAAAATTTAGGTCATTTGGACTGATATTGGCCACTTGGTGCACAGTTAACCCGAAATCGGGTGAATATATATATGGTGCTATATCTGAATCTGTACCGATCTTGACAAAATTTGATAGACTTATTTCAGAGCTGTATCTAATATCTGGTACCAAAGATCATTGTTGGGAAAAGCATATTACGCTTTTAAGGGGCATAAACCCTTAATCGAAAAAAACAAATATATGGAAGCTATAGCTATGTCTGAACCGATCTCGATAAAATTTGACAGAGGTATTTTCGAGCAGTATCTGATGTCTCGTACTAAATATCATTCTTGTAGAGTTCATATTACGCATGTAAGGGATTTAAAACCCCAAATCGGATGAAACATATATGTGAGAGCTATAGCTGTATTTGTTTTTATTTGTATTTGCATCTAGACTGAATTTGGCCGTATGTGCCAAAATTCAGGTCATTTGGACTGATGTTGGTCATTTGGTGCACAATTAACCCGAAATCGGCTGAGCATATAAATGGGAGCTATATCTAAATCCGATTCGATTATCACCAATTTCAATAGGGTTCGTCCTTGAGCCAAACAAATATTGTTTGGAAAATTACATCTCAATCGGATAATAAATGCGAACTGCATTTTGTTCCAAGAATACATGGACAGATGGACTGAAATGCATAAATCGAGTCAGAAAGTGATTCTATGAAAATCTTCAAAAGTAACTACTGGTCTATCTCGCTTTATACTCCAATTCACAAAGACAATACCATTACCACTATGTGGTGTAGGGTTTAAAAACTAAAATAGCCTTTACTCCCTATGGGAAGACATAGCTCACGTAATTTTTTCTAAATTCTAAACGCTTAACTTTTCTCTAGTTCATAGGAAATTGGACATCTTTATTCTAAGCAATAACAAAGCGTAGTATGAAAAGCTCGATTGAATCAATTGGGTAGTCGAAGCAGGACACATTAAACATCAGCATTTTCTATTAAGCATCCGAGGATTATAATGTCCACTACGAGTTGTGACATTCGACATCGAAGAGAAGATATTGATCTCTTGGTTGTGTGGTAAGTGGGTCTTTGTGAAGCGAATCATGTGCGATCTGTGATCAATCATGGAATAGAAAAACATTCAGCACCTTTATATAACAGTCCTATGCTTTCCTTTCTATTCCCTCTTGATTGTTGTCTTGGTCTTAAGCAGCACCATGTAATTGTACAATAAATATTTCTAGGTTTCCATCATGAAATAAAATATTTGATAGTATCTAAGTGAAATAATTGAAAACTTCTTCGGACTTTCCTATTGTGGTTGCAAGTAAAAATCTTTTGTTTCTGGCTGGAAATTTGTAGCTATAGACTTTAACACAATTATCAAAGTGCCCTGACTTTTCAGATGCATATTGCAGATACAACTATGCCACCGCAAACAAAATCGTAAAAATTAAAAGTTCTTCCCTATGTATACAACTACAATAATTTAATATTTCTTATTGGAAAATGTCACTTACCGTGGAACCAGTTTACTCGACAACCATATCAGCAGCATAAATGATGAGCATATGCCCAACATTACACCGGTTATGTAGTAAAACAGAGAGTTATGTGACAACTTGCCAGCATATTGAAATATCAGACATCCAATTATCAATTGAAGAACACGCCAGAAATCTACCCTAACCTTATGCAAACGTATGCGATAAGGTTCAATGGTTTCAATGCCCATACAGCTGGAAACAAATGGCGAAAGCGGTAGACGTGAACGTTTCTGGCTAAACAAATTGAAACTGAACAGGGAACGATGTTCATCGTAATGCTGTTGAACCTCTTCGGGCGATGAACCATCATATTGCGTGTAATCATCACCTTCAATTTCCAAAATCAGCTCCACCGTTTCGAAAAGACGCCGCAATGTTCTATCCTCGCCCTTGTAGCAATAGGTGCGTAAATCCCTTTCAAAGAATCCACGATGTCGTCGCAGCGGTTCATAGTTGTAGATTTCTCCAGCTTCTAAATATCTAACTGGAAAATGTTGCGGGGGGAAAAAATGGACGCTATGGTCATAACTGTTCCATTGAAGTAAATTGAAATTGCCTTACCTTTGTTGTTGCGCGCGGATGATGTGTTTGGCACAACCTCGGCAGCTCTTGCCGCAAATAATGATATCAACAATAAAAATATTGAAGTTTTCATTGCTTCTTCATTTAAGAAATTTCAAAATTGTTTGAAAACATCAACTAAAAATCTAAAAATAGAATAGAAACACAAAAATAAACAATCCTCCTCAATACCGGGCTGTAGCGGCGATACGGATTAATCGAATCGGCTTCCGATTAATCGAATAATCGACTTCGAGTACTCAGAGTTCGAAATCGACTATGGACTTAGGTAAAACCGAATATTCGACTATTAATAGTCGATCTCAAATTCCATTTCAACCATTGCGTCCTGTTGAAATTATGGTCTGTTTCAGAACTGGAAGAATGTAAACGTTTTTAATATGATAACCGGTTTTCCCTTTATGATATCGAAAAAAATTACAAAACTAACCCTTAACGTGATATGAGTTGGTTATTATTGTGGTTGAGTTGTGCTTCTAATGTGGCGTTTCCACTGCACTTGATTCGCTCTCTATTCGTTGTTTGACCCTTAACTATGAAAAAACTACCTAATTCTTCACACAAAATTTCCTGAGCGAACACTCATATTTGTACGTTGTTCAATTCAAATCACTCTCAGAACAACGAAAAAATATGTCCCATCCCTAACAAATGAGAGCATTTATCGAAAAAATAAATTATGACATTTAAAAATTAATAATAGAAAAATTTAATGAAATTTTAAAAATTTTTGGGAAGACTGAAAATTATGTATGAAAACTACAATGTTGAATGGCGTATGTACATTCAAACGAAAGTAAATTTTGTTTTCTCTCTCATTCGAAGTACGCATTTGGTCCACGAGATGAAATTTCCACAGAAAACTGCAAACAAAAGAGGCAATATTTTCAAAATGTTTCTATTGGCAGAAAAAATGTTTGACAAGTGTCTCTCCAGTAGAATTTAAAAATGGAAAAACACAAAAATATGTTCAAAATGTCAAGATTTACACAAAAAGTTGAAAACGGGAATGAAAATTATAAAATTATTGATATAATACATATTTGGGAGAAAAACAATCATTTATTTTATTCATATTAGTGAGAATTTAATGTATTTTAGTATAAATTCCCATTAAAATCAAGAAACAAAATTTTTGAAAAAAGGAGTTATTTTACTATGAATTACGAATCGTACCGTATGAACGGGTTAATTCGTGTACCTAATTCTGAGAGCGAACAACGTTGTTCGGTTTCCAATGGAAACATGCTATAAAGCGCGCGCACTTCTGTTCTGTTGTTTTGTTGCAACGCGGATGGGAAACCAAAATGAAAGTCGTCCCCAACGAAACGTATATAAAGGCCAGAAAGGAATACTTGATAAAAAATAAACAGAAGCAAAATCCCCTAAGGACCTTTGTTGTTTACGAATGAGACATGAGGAAAACATAAAATTAAACTATCGTCAATACCGGGCTGTAGCGGCAATAAAATATCAAAACTGCAACGCCGATAACGTTTACAAAGTCGACGCCGACGACAATTTTTTTTTGTTTCCAGTGGACTTAAATTCAGCCACCGTTTTATTTTTTAATATAAATTAAATAATATACAAATTTCGAAAAATATTGAAATATAAAGGAGCAGCTTCATAAAGAGCTTTTTATACTGACTTACGCCATCGGCTGGAAAAGGGGGGAGGAAAGCGAAGCATTTTTTTGGTGGCAAAAAATTAACAGGTAAAGTACATTGATATCCAATTACTTATTGTTTACATTCATAAATCAAAAAATAAATCGTTGTAATAAACAACCCTAAATATAGTTGTGTTCCAGTACTTTTTTAGTAGTAAAACTAGCAGAAGAGAGAACAGTTCGAAATGTCATTCTAATTTAGGTTTGCTCAAAAAGTAAGGGAACGGAAAATTAGCAGAAATGCGATAAAATGTCAAAATTCCAAAAGTAAACAGCCTAAATCGGACTGGTGAAAACTTACTGAAAAGAGCGCCAACATTTAAAAAATGAGTATTGAAGACGATAAGTTAAAATAAATAATTTATAATAATAATTAATAATCTGATTACTCATTCAACCAGTCCTCTTCACTGCTGGAATCATCCAAAAGTGAATACATCAGTTGCTCCATATTTTCTCTTTTTGTTTTTTGCACGACAAATATTAGTTTTTCCTTTAGTTTTCAAGTTGATCATTTTCTTTATTGAAATGTATCAGTACATTTTACAATACAACCTTGTTAGCCCTGCCAATTAAATGTCAAATTTACAATATGCACATTTCTGCTCGGCCAAATTCATGTAGCTAAAACATGCAGAAATGTGCACCACTCAGCGCCATGTTTTTCTCGAGAGAGCTGCAAGTTTTGCTACTTTTTGGAGTACGGGAACACGTTGTAGCAGAATTAGTGCTAATTAGTACTAATTTGCAGGTTCTGGAACACAACTTATGTTAAAATTTTTCGTAAATTTAAAAAAACGAATTTGGTAGGAGTTTTTTGATGAATCGAAATTGGCCTCATTAATTATATGCATCCCGTGGAAGCGTTTTCAAGTTCTGGCTCATTAATTAGCAGCGAAAAAATCATGGTGGAAGAATACAGGTAGATGCATCAATGCTTGGGAACATTGATATGTCAAACATTTTAAAATATATATTTTTTAATTAGTAAATTTTTGTACGTTTTCTTATACGACGCCAATAGAAGATTGTCATGATATGTATATTTCAACAATTTTAACGAATTTGAATAATTTTTCATTAAAAATGTTAAATTTCAAAACTGGTTTGACAGTTGCAGGGACAATGAACTGTCAAACCAATTTTGGAATTGAAAATGTTGAATGAAAAATTATTTACATTTGTAAAAATTATTGAAAAAACGCGTATTATAATAGCATCGGAATGATGTATTATAAGAAAACATATAAAAATTTACTTATATTTGAAAAAACATTTAAATTTTTTTTGTATTCTTCTGCCATGAATCACATTTAAGCCCTATAACAATAAGCAAGGTGCTCTTAATCCATGACAATCACGAAATATTTATTCCTCAATATTAAAAAAATAATCGCAAAATTTTACATTAAAAAATGAATTTCTTTTTTTTTTTTGTTAACAAATACAACAGGGTACGCATGGTACAATGATATCAAGGTAGGGCTATGATACCATATGATTTCAATTTTTTTATTTTCTAGGCTTAATATGTCATCTTTATTTGTTTATGTATGTCTTTTCTTTTCAATAACAAAAAAATTGTTCAGAAAACATTCAAATTCGGATGTTTTCAAAATGTTTATTTCATCGTATGCATCGACAAAATCTAGAGTTTTTGTAGCGAAATAATACTTTATGCTAGGAACACAATTGGAGCGAACGACGAATTTCGCCCTACGCGGCGACAAAATGAGCCGCGAAAATTCGTCGTATGGAACACAATACCGACGAAATTATAAAACAGCTGATGAAGTTGTTTACTTTTTGCTCATTTGTTGACTACAATGAATTATACAAGAACACATAATTCTTTACGTTCTCTATTATAATTTCACTTATGTCCATCTTCTCTATTATAAATTCACTGATATCCATCTTCACTCAGGCGCAAGTACACAAATAAATAAACAAATTAATTATGTTTTTTTTATACGAGTAACAGATAGTAGAGTGACCATAACAAATTTTAAAGTAAAAAGTAACTTTATTTACTAAAACACATAAAATTCGTACAAGTATGGCCACCTTGTACTGTTTTGTTCGCCGGTCGCCGGCGTATGAAATAGAAATAAAGCTAATTGAGTTCGCGGCGACCGACGAAATTTTCGCCGGTGCCGTGATTGTGTGCACTTCCATATACACATATGTGTTTTATTTTTGACGACGAACATACGCCGCGAAAAAATTCGTCGTTCGCTCCAATTGTGTTCCTAGCATTAAAGATATATAGAACCCAGTTTTCGCGGTTTTCAATTATTTATTCAAAATAAATGCAACAAGTTGTTTGATTTTTTTTATTGTTTTGATACTAATTCTGACATTACAAGCCAAACAGGCAGACCTCTATACTTGCAATTTTTTCAAAGTTGACCTACCTTCTCTTCATTGTACCATGAGGGTACGCATGTTTTTTTTATAAAAACATATGAAATAATTATGTGTTTTTATGTATTTTTTACACTATCACCCATGGTAAATTCTGCTTCGACAATACTATTAAAGCACAACCCTTATGCCATGACCGATTTCTGTCAAAATGATTTGAAATGGCATGGAAACAAGAGCTTCATATTTTTCTTCAAATGAACTAATAATAGCGAACAATGAATGAAATACCTAAATTTTCTTGCTGATATATAATTAAGACAGTTTCATTATTCATTTCCAAGGCAAATTTGTTTAAATAAATAAATAAATGTTTTTTTTTCTATATCCTACACCACAAGGTGGTCTGGGTATTATGTCTTTGTGCATTTGTTTGAAACGGGCAAAAGGAAAAGAGATAGATCCATAGTTCTCTTTTGAAATTGGAGATGATCGGTGAAATCAAAAGTCCAAATTTCTATATACGACCTGGAAATAAGTATGCCAAATTTGATGGAAATCGGATCAGATATAGATATAGCTTCAATATATATTGTTTATCCGATTTGATATGTTTCCCCTCCGCCACCTTAATATGCACTCTGTTACAACAATATTTGGGGAAATATATCAAATACAGCTCAGAAATACCTTTCCCAAATTTTATCGATATCGGTTCAGATTTGGATATAGCTCCCATATATATCTTCGTCCGATTTGGCTTGTATTGTGCAACATAAGTGTAAAATTAGCCTAAATAGAATGGAATTTGGCACTTACGACCAAATTGAGCCTAGAAACAAGTATATCAGATTTGGTGAAAATCAGTTTAGATATAGCCATAGCTCCCATATAAATTGTTCATCCACTTTGTAATATTTTTTAATTTGTTATATGAAGCTCTACTAAATATGCAAAGGGGTGTAGAGTATCATCTGTTAGCTGTGCAGCAGCTACTTGTTGTGCCATGCCAACTTGAAACCGCCGCCGCGCAGATCTCTATTGGCGATTCTCATTTCAAAGAAGAGATGTATAGGTGGAGTTGATAGGAAATCGAGTAACCGATTATTAGCTGGCGACTATTTTATTGGTTCGGTCACAAAATCGTATTGCATCCGCA